AACTAAGTCCACATGGAAGAAGCACACCAGTGTGTGTGATCCAAGGATTATAGACAGCAATATCCAATTCAAAGGAGGGAATTGTATCAGCACTTAAGTTTGAAACACCTGGTTTGCAGAAGGCTACAGATGACAGTAGAGGCCCAAAATCCATTTGCAGAGTGCTTTCCCTGTTACCATAGACTCTATGGCATAGATGATTGATGTGAATACCCTTGCTTTCAAGTGAGATCATTGTAAAGTTGATTATAGCAAAATTAGTTAGGTTAAAATGTAATATCATTTGGTCTCACTTTTGACCCATTCTAAAATTGTTTCAGTTTAAAAAAAAAGTGAAGTGGAAATAAATGAAGATTAAAACCCTGGTGAATCCTCTCTGACCATGGACCAGGGTGTAAATAGCAGTGCTTTCATGCGGAATACACTAAAAAGAGGATTATTCTGGATGCAAATAATGTTAAAATTTAACACCTTTTTGTTTGATCTCCTTCTTGACCTATTTAAAATTTTTCTAGTTTTTAATATTTTATGCTCTTTTGATTGAAGGTTTTTTTCTGTTTTATTTTGTTATTGTTGTCAGTTTATTTATTTTTAAATATTTTTTCTGTATATGAATCCAGGATAGGTAGCTCTATGGAGGTAGTAACTGGATCAATGATTCCTTGAGGGAATAGCAGGAGAGGTTTAGGGGAGAAATGAGGAGCTAATTACAATGAGTACAGGAAGCATGAAAATGTTCTAAAATTCATTGTAGCGATGATTTTACAATTCTTCTTAAAATTATTTAACTACTAAATTGTGTGATTTGTGAATGATATGCCAATAAAGTTTTAGAAACATTTTACACAAGGTTCTAGAACTCAGTTCAGCATCCACCAGAACACAGAATATAGTAGAGTTTAGGAGATAAGAGGAGATTGTCCAAGAATATAGGTGGACCAGAAACTAATTACTTTTCAATAATACTATCACATTCCTGATCAGTGGAAAGGTATATACTCATGTATAAGCTGAGTTTTTCAACACATTTTTATTGCGGTTTATGTGGTAAAATTAGATGTCTCGGCTGATATCCGGGTTGGCTTATACTCGAGTATATACGGTATGTTTTCAAACAAAGGACCATTTTGAACCAATATATAACATATTTGAGGTATCTTAAACCCTAATATGAACCCTAACAGTTTTTCCCTTCCAACATAGCATAGGAATGCAAGCTATTCCTCTTATCAAGAGATATACTTATTTACTTTTCTTGTGAATCTACACTGTTGTTCATATGGGTTCTAAGAAAAAGAAGGTGTCTGAGCTGACATCCCCCCAAGAGGGCTTCCTTTCTCATGAAAAGTCCATAAAATAGGAAGAGGCCCCATGAAAGGATGTGAGGCATAGTAGTCAGTAGCCCAGCTGAGTCCCCCACTGATAGCCACCACTGATATCAAATATGTGAATAATTCATCTGGGCGGTCCCATCCCTGTTGAGGTCCACATGATGGCAGTTTTCAGTAACATTAAGAGAACAGTCTAGTAGAATAAAGACCTTGGCGTCAGAGAATTAGGCCACTCATCTGCCATTTTGTCGTACTGTGGTGGTTTGTATGCTGTTGTGATACTGGAAACTGTATCACCTGTAGTTCAAATACCTGCAGGGTTACCTATGGGGAACCAAGTTTCAGCAGGATTCCTATCCAAAAACAATCTAGAAGCAAAAATAGGAAATCCACTTCTGAGGGATTCGCCACTGAAAGCCTTGTGAATTACAGCAGAACATTGTCAGCTTAGCTTCAACAGATGAGCTCCACACAAATACTGGGGGAGAGCTCCTTCTGTGAAATAGTTCACTTACATGATGTGAATGAAAAAAATGCTTTGGGGACTGCCATTTGCTGATGGGGCACAGATGGCTCAAAATGAGAAGATAAAGCTGAAACCTGCCATCGATTCTCAGAACATGAAATACGAAGAACATGGAATACATGGAGAATGTTGAATACATGGAACACAGTGTATGAGGTATGAAACTATAACATTTGTAAGCTGTCGAGAGTGAAATAGAATGTTCAGAGATAAATATCTTGGGCATTAGGGAGCTGAATTTGACTGGCATTGACCATTTTGAAGGAGACAATCATATAGTTTAATTTGACAGATGACTTAGCCTGGGTCCACGAGAGAAGGAATGTCAGTAATGCATACATATGTATGTATGTATGTATGTATGTATGTATGTATAGTTAGAGCAGAATTTTTGTAAAGGAAATGGCTCACATAATTATAGAAGTAAGCAAGTCCATTTAAGGTAAGATCAAGTCCATGGGTCAGCTATTACGCTGGAGATTTTTCTGACTTGTACCTGTGAATAGCTGTGGAAACTGGTGAAATCAAGAGCTACAGGAAAAGGTGGCTGCAGTTGCAAAAGAAAAAGGCTGACAGGTCAGAGGGTTGGTCACTGACAACTCCCGGGATCAGCATGCCATAGGGCAGACTCTTGACTCAAGAGCTAGATGAGGCATATGCTGAATCCAGACCCAACAAAAAGGAAACAAGATATTCTGCAGCCTCCAGTTATATTAATTAGAAGCAGAACACCGCACCAAGGAAACTTCCTTGCAATTGATTGCCTCAAGGCTGTCTCCTCCAGAAGAGTGTTGCATCACACTCTAATCTTTTTAAAACTGATTGCTGTGAATTACACTTTGTTAGGTTAGGACAAGGGGGATTACTAGAGGTTAATTATCAGACCACTGAGAATCCTGGCCCAGCCCAAATTGACACAAAACCTATCACAAGGAAATGACAAATTTAAGAGGAATGTGGTTGCATTCTTAATCATAAAGAACATTTCAAGATATATCTTAAGGTACATTGCTGTTTATTACAACTTAAAATCTATGCTCCCTCAAGGAAGACCAGTTAGTATGACTACTATTGAAATTTAAGCACCAACCACTAGAGCCAGTGATAAAGGGGGTGATAAAGGGGAACTGATATCAAGGAGTGGGTAGGAAAGAGGGAACCGATTACAAGGAACTATATGTGACCTCCTCCCTAGGGGACGGACAACAGAAAAGTGGGTGAAGGGAGATGTCGGACAGTGCAAGATATGACAAAATAACAATTTATAAACTATCAAGGGCTCATGAGGGAAGGGAGGCAGGGAGGGAGGGGAAAATGAGGACCTAATGCGGGGGCTTAAGTGGAGAGGAAATATTTTGAGAATGATGAGGGCAATGAATGTACAAATGTGCTTTACACAATTGATGTGTGTATGGATTGTGATAAGAGTTGTATGAGCCCCTAATAAAATGATTTTTTTTAAAAAAGGAGTTCAAGAAGAAGGAAAATGTTTTGAAACTTATTGTGGTAGCAATTGTACGCTAGTACTTGATGTGATTGAACTATGGAATATTCCCATCTTTCTCCCGCCAGGAGAAATGAATCCTTGGAAAAAGGCATTATGTTTGGTGAAGTCAAAGGGCATAGAAGAAGAGGAAGACTCCCAAGGAGATCAGTTGACACAGTGACAGAAATAATAGGCTCAAATTTAACAATAATCATGGAGATGGCGAAAGACTGAGCAAAGTTATGTTTTGTCGTACATAGGGTTTCTATGAGTTTTAACTGAGTGGACAGCACTTAACAACAGTTTCAAGGGTTTAAGTATTGGGGTGGTTTTGTTTTTCTCTCTCTTTTTATTTCCTGAGGGGGGTGCACCATCCCTGGAAGTACTGCAATACCAGGTCGATGCCTGGAGTGGATGGAGCAAGCTCCTATTCTATCTCCCTGCTCCAAAAATCCATTTAATATATTGTCCTCGGATAGAGGACATACCAGATATTAAACTGATAAGAACAGATACTACACTTGATCTTAGCCAAAAGGCCAGAAGCGATGGCTGGTTTTGTATATAGAAATGGAAACTCTATATTCTGTCATAAACTTTTAATGGTGTAATCTTTGCTTAGTTGGCTATACAGAGGGAAGACTCCAGTTTAAAAATTAATAACTAATATGATAAAATTACATAATTTATGATGGATGAAGGGGGAAAAAACCAACAACAATTTGATTGGTGATATTTATTGCTTATAATTAAGTCCCTGGCTAGGATATTTGTGCTTGTCTTGGCAAAATTAATTGATTTTACCACTTAGTTGTATCTTCTCACCTCTACAATTTCACTGCCATTGCTTTGATTAAATATGTTCCTCATCCACTGTGACCTGATGTACTATGAAGGTCTTTACACCTTCCCCTTGGCTGGTTTAACTGACTCCTCTAAATGGTACAATAGTGATCTACCTACAATTTTATTTTAGCCAATATTTCAATGTTGTATCATTGATTATAAAATAAACTGATTCACAGACTCACTCATTCAATTATGCTCCTCAAAAAGGAATGATCTTCATTTCTGAATACTATCTCCCACTGAGAACTTTTTATTTCAGTGGAGTGATTTTTGGCTCTCTCCTCTGTGGGTTGGTTACCTTCACTTCGCCGTATGCTAGGCATTGGGCTTCTACTTTTCTTTGCATTTTCCTTAATTTTATTGCTCATTTTACCTCTCTATTTTCCTATGTTAATTTTGCTTTTTCCTTTTGGGTTCCGAGTGAATCCTATCACCTTAGTTAGTATTTTCTATACCACAGTTCGGAACTAATGATCCACTCCTCTTTACTCTAGTGCCTTTTGAAAAAGGTCATTTTAATCAATTGGAGAGCCCCTACATGTTACAAAGGATTAGCACACTTGGTTATTTAATGAAAAGCTGATGTTTGAATTCACATAGAGGTGCCTTTTAAGAAATGTCGAAAGATCTACTTGTGAAAAACCAGCCCTTGCAGACCCTATGGAGCACAATCCTATCCCAACACACGTGGGATTCTCGTGAATCAGAATTAACTACTCAATCAATCAATTGGAAACATTTTAGCACATGCTCTGGGCTAACTACTTTGCATACAGTGTGTCTTTTTAACCCACGGAACAAAGAAAAGATGGCGGTGTGCATCGCTGTGATCGCCAAGGAGAATTACCTCCTCTACATCCGAAGCATCCCCACTGAGAACGAGCTGAAGTTCCACTACATGGTGCACACCTCACTGAACGTGGTGGATGAGAAGATCTCAGCGCTGGGTAAGGCCCTAGTGGACCAGAGAGAGCTCTCCCCGAGCCTGCTTTACCCCACCGAGGACCACAATGTCTACGGCTACGTGACCAACTCCAAGGTGGAGTTTGTGATGGTGGTGGACTTATCGAACAAGGCGCTGAGAGTCAACGAGATCTGCAGCATGTTCCGGAAGCTGCATAATTCCTACACTGACGTCATGTGCAACCCCTTCTACAACCCCGGGGACTGCATTCACTCTAGGGCCTTCGACAGCACCGTGACGTCCATGATGACACAGGTCTGCTGAGCAAGGCCGCAGCACCTGGACACAGTGCAGCTGCAGCGTGAGCCGCGGAGGTGCCTGCGTAGTGGTTTGTGAGCGACAGTGGCCTCTGTGCACACGGATGCGCACGTCTGTGAATCATGAGGTGCAGCGGCAATTGTGCCTGCAGATGGCGCGGCCTCTGCACCGAGGCGCTAAATGTTTTCTGAAGCCCGAAAAAATTTTTAGATATATAAATGTGCATATATATAATTTTATATATATTAAAAATTATATATAATATATATATGACATTTAGGTGACTTGCCTGAGGTCATAAACTTTTTAAGTCTTAGAACCAGAATTCTATTCTTGTTTTTCTGGCTCAAATGTGAGAAAACTTGAACTTTTTGCTCTTTTTTACGGAGCATATTTTATATCATTTGTATCTTTATTAGTCATTAAGGATCTGTGTCTCCCTCTAAACTTTAATTTCAGGGAGAGAGAGAGAGGTCCGACAATTACTGAACTTGGTGGGGCGCTCACCACTTCAGTGCTAAATTGATATTGTTCTTTCCAGTTCACTATATAAGTGAACTTATATAGAAATGTTTATGTTCCGTAGGTTTGAGGTGCTGAAGGTGAGAGATAAGAAAAAAAATGTGCTCCAGTGTTCCCTAATATTATACAACTGGGAAGACACGGTTGATTGTAGTAATGCCTTCCTTACCAACAGGGGTGGGCTTTCAAGAAACTTGAAAGTGGGCATGACTGGGGGTGGGGTTGCTAAAGCTCATTTTTCTAGTTAATCACTCTGTGCAAACATTTTTATTAGATGATTTCTATTTCTTCTGTGTTGCTAGGGACCCATGTTCTTAAAGCTGATAGGCATGATAATACCAGGTGTTTCTCAGGAAGGAGAGGACTCTTCCCTGTGTGCTATAAAGTTTAATAATCAATGATTTGCTTACCTGGCACTGCCTGCATTGTCAGCAGGATGAGATCACTGTTTTGGCAATAAGCATGCTGCTCCTCCTAGGGAAAACCTAATCACAGGCCTCTTGTTCCCCAAGACGTCCCTCTGTATCCTCCATTGCTTTCACCCGTCTCCTCCTCTAAGTCCTAGCAAGGATAGTTATGGTGATATGAGGATTACCCAGCAGATCACGATGTTAAAAGGGGATATATATATATATAATAAAATATAGAAAGATTGAAAGTAGAAATATCTCATAGATTCTCAGTTGTCTTTACCTCAATATCCCAGATTCTACTTACCACAATGCAGAAATGAATTCTCCTTCAGGAACATGATACACCCTGTCCTTACAAAAATTTCCACCAAGGATATTTTGCTATGGGATCAACGGCAGGCTGCATGGATCCACAGAATGTCCAAGGCCTCTGTATACCTGGAGCTCATGTGAGCGGCTTCTCTCTCTTTCTGCCTGGGTATGGCATAGAGGCCCTTCCCTCTTGCCATCCATATGCTGACCATTGTTTTAAGGCTTTTCTCGCATGTCTCATCTTTCACTTCATCCTTGAGCAATTTCTGAGCTTCTTGGTAGTTCAGGAAATGTGTCCTCCTGTCTTTGAATTGTCTGCTCCCTCCAGGATTTGCATACATGTTATGCTTACAACCAATTCAAAGTCTTAATTGACTCAGATACTAAGTCTTCTTAGAATCCTTTCTCAAGTTCCTGGTCAATCTAAACTTTTTTCTCCTTTATATTTACATTAAACCACATAGAAATGACCATAAAACTGTACTGTAATGGCTGATCTATGTTTCTAATTAATAGTTCTCCTGGAGGGCAGGAAACTTTTTATATGTTTGTGGATTCCTATGATTTAGAATAAAAGCACTCGTGTGCTTTTGTTCAATAAATGACTGCAATACAGTTATTTCAACCGCTCTGTAGGGTTAATTTCAGGTTGTCTAGGTTCACATCTCAGTCCTACCATTGAACAAACTGAGTAACACTGAGCAGGATCTACATCGCTGAGTTTCTGTGCCTATGTCTGAGACACTCTGATAGCTCAGCATCTCTTAGTGAAGTTGGAGACTTCTGCCAGAGAGCCCTGAATGACCCGAATTTAAGTCACTTGTGCTTTGTCTGAGTAAACAGAGGAAGTTCTATAATGAGAGACAGCCATTTGCTTTAAGACCACAAATTTTTGGGGACTCTGGAAAACTAGACAAGAATGTAAATAGGAAAGAGGTTAGTTGGAGACAAAAAGTGACAATTATTCATCACAGGGTCCAAACCAGGAAGTACTTAGAAATCACCTTAAATTCTGGAGGTAGTAGAGACACTTTGCTGCTTTGTATCTTGCACACATCATTTTACCTCTCTGAAGTACAGTTTCTTCCTATGCAATCATTGCTCCATTCCTGCTAAATAATTATTTCTCTTCATCTTTAAAATCTGCTTTTCCAAACTTCTATTAATTGAGGAATTGAGTGATCTTCTAATCATTTCCCAATAAATTCCTTTTTTATGTGTCTAAGCTAGCCAAAATCTGTATCTTTTTCTTGTGATTATGAGCCCTAATTTCATAGGTAGATGATCTTGAAAGATTTTAATTATCTTCTAACTGTTCTTGATTCACAAATTATGATGGTTGCTGGTTCTCATAGATATCTCTATCTATCTGTCTGTCTCTCTGCCTATCTATCTATCTATCTATCTATCTATCTATCCATCTATCTATCTGTCTGTATATCTATCCAGCCATCTGTATTTATCTATTATCTATCTATCTTTGCTGTTGAAAGGAAGAGGATGAAACATTTGTCTAATGTATATGTATAACTTTTTTTCTTAAATAATCCTTTAAGGAAAGAGCACAGGATAAATACTGGGAGAGGAGAAACACACAAAAGAAAAAAGGGAATCTTTGTAATGATATCTCATCCCACCTATAGGTTTTCTGTGACATAAACATCTCTGATTATTCCTTCAAAGATCTGGGGTTTTATTTAAAGGAACTTCGTGTAGGTCGTCTTTTAAGATGTATCATCTCTTAAAATGTAGATAATTTCTCATACCTATTTAACTTCTCCTACTTCCATCTCTGTACCACTTATAAACATCTATCTTAAAGGTAGCAGACTTTTCTGCAATGGTCCCTTTACATGTCTGTAACCTGGATTTTACAATAATTTCCATGAGAAATTTACCATATATTAGTCATTTGTATAGTCCCAGCCCCTAGGAAGTTTCTGGAATATAACAGGGCAGTAATGAAAACAAAATGATGAATGAAAGGCAAGCAAGAGAAGGTAGAGGGGACGTGGGGAGTGAATTGCCTAATACAATCTGTTAGGACTGGAGACCCTATTGAATTCTGTTCACCTCCTGTTTCCCTTTCCCCCTCAAGCTTTCTGGACTACAGACATTCTTTTTGAAGTCCATTACCACAGTCAATATTTGCACCATGGCTAATAAATTAGCATCACTTTGAAAACAAAACTGATTCCATTTTGCACTTGGAATGTGGTCTGAGAATTAGAAAGGGCAGGGGTGTTACTGGCCCTGAGGCCTGGAAAGTCTCTTGGTGTTTTATTAGGTAACAATTTCTGTTTTTACTGGATTTGCTGGTCACTAGTGAGCCCCTGGGAGCTTGTACTGGCGCCAAGAGAAAAAAAGGAAACTAGCATGCTCCCTGCTACCTAGAGACCAAGTAACCTCCTAGCCAGGAGGCATCTGTTATTGAAATTTGAGGCATCTATGACTAGGATTGGGAGCATGGACCTCTGAAAGGACAAGGTAAGCAGAATTAGGTCAGTGCTCTGGCTCGGCTGGAAGCAATGGGTACTGTGTCTTCTTTTTGCTGCTTCTACTTGCAGGAAAGTCCTAGAATTATGGGAAATGGTTTGTTTCTTGCCATGATGCTAACCTTTAAACATATATTTCACAGAGGCAACTAGAAAATGGGTTCTCTCTTCCGTCGTTGGGTGAGATTTAGGAAAACAACATTCTTTTTAGAACCTTTGAGGTGGTGAGGATGGGGGTGACTTGAAGTTAAAGCTGTGGTGGCATTCTGGGCTCCTCTTTCATGAATACCCTATTGTATTGAAAACCGTGGAATCTCGGTGTCCTGAAACATGGTGCACCATCCAGAGCGTCAAATCAGGAGACAGACGGTTTGGGTCTCTAACTTTCATAGTGTTAGCCAGTTAGGGGCTAGCAAGGGGAGAAGAAGTGATCATGGAAGAAATTTGTCAGGAATCTTAACACAAATGAGAGCTGCACACATGCTCCCATGCCCCTCCAGCATAAAGGAAGGTCAAGGGCAGAAGTAAACACATTTCCTTATCAATGCAAGAGACCCCTGAGATATTAGAGATCATGAAATGCATCACTTTCAGTAAACAAAGTTATGTCATCTGCATATTGCAGGTTTTTAATAAGTCTTTCTCCAATTTGAGCCCACATTTATTCTTCATATAATCCTGCTTCTCTGTTTATTTGCTCAGCATACAGATTGAATAAGTATGTTGAGAGGATACCACTCTGACTCACACCTTTCCTGATTTTAAGCCACGTGATACTCCTTTGTTCTGTTCTTACAACTGTCTCTGGATCCAGGTAGAAGTTCCAAATGAGCACCATGAAGTGTTCTGGAATTCCCATTCGTCTCAAGTTTATCAATAGTTTGTCATGATCACACAATCAAACATTTTGGCACAGTCAATGAAACACAAGTAAACATCTTTTTGGTGTTACCTGCTCTCAGCCAAGATCTATCTGACATCATCAATAACATCCCTTGTTCCCTGGCCTCTTCTGAATGTGGCCTGAGCATCTGGCAGCTCCTTGTCAAGGTACTTCTGCAACCATTGTTGGGAAGCCAGCGTCCAAGTTTTAATTGCATGTGTTATCAGTGATGTTGTCCTATACTGGGAACATTCTGTTGGGTCATCTTTCTCCAGAGTGGGTACAAATATGGATTTCTTCAAGTCATTTTTCTCAAACCTAATTGTGTATCGTCTTATAGTTAAAGAAAAGGCTTTCCTGCCTGGTCTGGCACTATGGCTT